GAAGAGCGGGGAGTTCTTGGTAGTTTTCCCCAGGAGTCCATTCACAGAGACAGAGCCCTAAGGAAATAAAGAATAACATTTGGTCCTTGTCAAAAAACAAGCAAGGGGGAGGGGAAAGGGAACAGACTGCAAGTGTCACACAGCTGCTGAGGTCGATCTGGAGCTTGGGGGTTAGGTGGCTGGGGGAGCCAGAGAGGTTGGCTCCTACCGCTCATCCATTCCCTGAACTCATTTACTGCACAGTGGGCAAGTTAGTTTACCCAGCAATCCAAGAAAGGTGGAGAGGCTTAAACTGGTTCTCCCCAGAACAGTGGGGAAGTGTGTCTGTGCCCACCTGAGTGTTTGCAGGTGAGCAGGCACCTGATAGGGGACAAATGCAGTCCCAGGGCAGTGTCAACAAGAAGACTCTCATCCAGCTCCAAGTCCCACCCTGGGCTAGGCTGGGGTGGGGCTTAGGGAATGCAGTCCTCCTCCCTTCTTCCAATCCCTACCACTCCTCAGCTGCCAGCCCAAGGTCATAGGTTGCCTCCAGAGCAGCTGAGGCCTGACTCACCTGTCGTAGTCGAGTATCCCACACCCCACCAGCAACAGATACCAGAGTGGAGGGAGCATGATTAGAGGGGGCATGTGGGCGGGGGAGTGGAAGTCTCTATGTTCCCAGCACTTCTAGCTAGGAGATAAGATTTCCTTCCTTTCAGCAAATGCCTCATGTTCCTCTCCCTAGGGAAAGCAGAAACTGAAATAGGAATTCTAGGGTCCCTATGAGGTCACAGGCTCCACAGTGACCTCACACACGCCGGAAAGAGGAGGAGTCTCAGATAAGAGGGTCAGGAATAATAGGCGGAAGAGCTGGGGAGAAAAGAGTTAGGGGAGGTGGGTGTTTTGCTTCTTTCCCGTAGGCTGGAGGTCTAAAGAGTGGAGAGGGCCAGAGACATTAGGGGGCGAGACTACAAAGTACACAGAAACATCGGGTTGCTAGGAACAAATTCATGGCAAGGGGGTGCCTAAGTCTGCTTGGATCTCAGTGGAACAGGGTAAAGAGTTGCAGACGAAATGGATGAAGAGAAAGGAGTCATTAGAGGGGCTCGTGGGGGCTTCTTCATGGAAAGGTCAGAACTGAGGTTGAAGAACTCATGCAAATGAGCCAACGAGGTGAGGGGCGGGGCAATTCTACAGGTGCGCCAATATGCAAATAAAGAGAAACGGAGGGCGGGGGCTCTCACAGCATTCCGTCAGGGATGCTAGGCGTGCCATGCAAATAAGAAATGCATTCCTGTCTACTAATTCTTGAAGTGGAAAGGGGATGGTATCAGGCTTATGTAAATCAGAAGGGTCGACGACCCCAACAACCAAGTGAAGAGGAGGGCCAGACTCCCCGGCCCCGAGAGAAACAAGCGAAGGGGCGGGGCTATGCAAATTAGGGTCCTGGCTCCGCTCGCGGCCGGGTGCACTCACCAGCCTGGGTGATGTCTGACAGGTCGTAGCTGCGGGCCGCGCCCCGAGGGAAGTGCTTCAAGCGCCGGTTAGACAGGTTCAGGGTCCCGGTGGCCACGGCTTCCTCAAGGGCCCGCTCTGCACTGCGGCTCCCAGGCAGACTCGGAGATCCTGCAACGGAGGTCGCGGCCGCCGCTTCCTCACCCCCGGCGGCAAGTGGGGCTGCTACCGCCGCCGCCATCCGCTCCCGGCGGCTCCTGCTGCCTGACTGACGGGACCGGCCGTCCCTTCTTCCCCCTCCCCCTCCTTGGAGCCGCCGTAGTGGCTTCAAGAGGGAGGAAGTGAGCCCAGCGACCCGGCGGACCAATTGCGGCCCCAAGATGCGTCGGAAGTGGCTAATCAGAACCCGCGGGGGAGGTGGAGACTCGGGCGCTAGAGTAACGTGAGAGAAGGGAGGGGGACTAGAACGGAGAACTTGCCAACGGCCCTTGCTCCCACCCCCCTCAGCTGCATCCAATCACAATGCTTAGAGCTAGAGATGGAGCCAATTAGGTCCAACCTGGAGGCGGGGAACGCAGGCTTTCAATTAGAAGGGATAGAGACAGAGAGATCGCAAGCCCGGGACTCCTGGGCCTCTTCAGGTAAAGACCAATCGCAAGCCAGCTTTAGGCGAGTGGCTGTCAAGAAGGCCAATTAAATTCCCTGAAGGGAACCTGGCCCAGGCCTCTTCTCTGAGGGACGGCTCTACCTACCAATAGCATGAGCGAGACCCTTCGCTAAGGAGGTGGCGGGTGAGCTAGAACTTTGAGACTGAGGTAAAGCCTGATCGCGGCGCGCGGGCTGGCCTCGGAGCATTGCCAGGGCAGGTGTAGTGTGTGCCAGCTGAATGTGTTAGAGAGCGAGCCAGCTTTGAGAGCGTAAGGTAGACCGCGGGGTGCTGGGCGACCCCCGAGACCAGTGCACAGGGGGTCGTTGTGGGCGAAAGGGCTGTGGAGGCCCTTCCAGCTGCGGAAGTTAAGATTCTGCGACTGTCTCCGGAGTCCCGGAGATGCCCAGCTCAACTCCTGGAAGGAGGGTTCTGGAAGCCCAGGAAAGCCTCGAGAGCTGCCGCCCACTCTGCCAGCCCACCCAGAGGAGTGCGCCAGGGCGGGAATTGTGATGACAAGACTGAGGATTTAGTCTAGAAAGGACCGTCTCACCTAGAAGTATTCCTATTTATAAAGAGGAAACTGAGGCGGAGGGAAGTGGATGAGTTGGCAGGAGCAAGCAGCAAGGTACTGACTACTTGCACTAGAGCCCAGGCTTCTCACTGCATCAGCTTTTGTGGTGGCCTTTTTCTGTTCACACCCTCTTTGCCTCCCGGAGTGAAATGGAGTGGATAAAGGGTACCCAGATATGAGAGGAAGCTGATGATGCTTTTCTTACTGCTGAGAGAGCTAACATCCTTTTAGATGGCATGAAGAACTAACGTAGTCCATTTAGTGTGTTAATAGTTGCCTAACCACTCATAAGTCACATCTCAGATGTTAACATTCCTAAACATTGAATTATTAAAATTCCATCCTGGGTAACCCAAACCAGCTGTTTACTAGTCACTGTGAATAAAAGAGTTTGATTGGCTGGGTGACAGCACAGTAAACAAAGGAGTCTGTAATACTCTGCAGCTCAGGGCTTGCTGTCCAGGACCGGATTCCTTGGAGCCCCTGGAAGAGCGAGCTACTCCTTGGATTTATTGCTGCAGATCTTCTGCACCTATCTGGACAGACGCAACCCCAACTCCTGTTTCATCTCATAAATGTCCCCCTCCCCCCATAAGACTAAACGAATAGCTTAGACTCTGGGAGATATCCTAAATTTTCAGAGTATATCTATCCCTTTCTTTCACCATAGAGGTTGCCCTTTATACATGCAATGATGTTACTGTTCCAGGAAAACAGTCAGCTTTTGGATATATTTTTCATGAGACTGTAAAGAGTTTGTGCGTAATTGTTCCCACCTTCATTTGGTGCATGCTTTTGTGAGAGATAGTCATTAGCAGGGTCACCCTCTCCTTCGCTCGTCAAATTGAATTTATACTTTTTTTTTTCTTTTGGAGTTTATACTCTTGAGCTTCAAATCCCCTGGAGGCCCTGGCCTGCTGAGATATGAAGAATTCACCAGTGTTTCTCTACAGAATTAGTACTAAAAGGGCCTCAAGTAGAAAAACCTCCTACTATTCCCTGAGAGTAAAGGCCTCATCTACCAGTATGTCACATTGTATTTCTTATGTAAAATGCATATCCCAGGAGCCATTGCATGGCTAGAGCTGAGCTAGAACTGAGGAGCTGTCTTAAGACAGAAAATCCTGGACAAGGTTGGGGAAAATAGGTCACAGTGCCTAGGCAGTGAGGTCACAGAGAGGTTTGTCTGCCCCAGACTCCATGAGGGAGGGGCCTAGGAAGCAGAGGGGCCTCAGAGGTCCCCCAAGCCCAGGCAGGGGACATGGTGTGGGAAAGGCAGCAGGGACGAGGCCCAGGACTGGTGCCAAGGGGCCCGGAGAGATGAGGGCAAGAGCAGGGAGGGGGCAGTCAGGATGGTGAGGAGAAGCCGCAGACGGAAGCTGCAAAAATTCACCGGGCTGTGCGGACGGGAGGAGGGGCTCAGGGTGAGGGGGGGTGCGGGAAGGGCAGGAAGAGGGCAGTAAAAGATATGGGAGGGTTACTGTGAGAAGTTGGGCCAAGGAACAAGACAGCCAAGGAGGGGTGAGCCATAGACCTAGAGAGAAAGATGGGAAGATTTGACAGCACAGAACTAGAAGTCAGAGCTATGAGCCCACCAGATAGTAGTTAATGAAAGAAAGGCTGAGCGAAGGAAGAAAAAGAGGCATGATCCTTATGGAACCCCTGTGCTCTCCTTTCTTGGGTAGGTGAAGCGGAGCTGCCCTTCATGTGGCCCAGAGACTGGGGGTGAAGAGAAGAAGGGGAGAGGGAACCCTATTTCTGTTCAGTTGTTCCCCCCAGAGCTGGTGAGTCCTTGGAGGGGAGAATAAAGGACTGAAGGCCAGACTACTGTGGGGCCCCCGATGACCCTTGCTTCCTTCTTTCTGCCCCACAGGTAGAACATATCATCTCATTCCTCCCAGTCAGAGATGTAGTTGCCCTAGGCCAGACCTGCCACTACTTCCACGAAGTGTGCGATGCTGAAGGCGTGTGGAGACGCATCTGTCGCAGGCTTAGTCCTCGCCTACGAGAGCAGGGTTCTGGGATCCGGCCCTGGAAGAGAGCTGCCATTCTTAACTGTACACCTTCCCCCAGAACCTTCAGTTCTCTTTGGCTCTCTCCTACCTTATTCTGGGATCCCTCCTGCTCCATAGAGTTGCTTGATGACTTCCGCATTTCCAGCCAACCTTCCAGAGCCCCTTTCTCTGGAAGAAACTTCTTAGATTCAAACATGCCATTGAATACTTCAAGTCTCTAGAGCCATCCTCTGATAGAAATCCCACCCAGAGCCCCCAAACCTGGAGTTTTCCCTCCTGTAAACCAGCATTTCTTAACTTTATCACTATTGAGGTTTTGAACCAAATAATTAGTTGAAGTGGGGGACTGTCCTGTGAATTATAGGATGTTTAAGCAGCATCCCTGGGCTCTACACACTAGATGCCAGTAGCACTTCCCCCAGTTGTGATACTCAATGTCCCCTGAAAGATAAAATCTTCCCCGGGTCAAGAAACATACTCTAAACCCCCTCCCTTCCCAGGGTGCCCCTATCCTCTTACTTCATTTCACATGCTAGAGATTAAGGGAGATCTAGACAACACATCCAGATTTGATTCAGATAGTAGATCCAGAGCTAGGAGTGAGGGAGGGTTGGTTACTGGTCTTTCCAAGTCATTCCTTTTCACTCTTCTTTTTCTTTTCTATGTATTTATTCTTATGTTTCCCTTGATATCTCTGATGCAAGGTTGGACCAAAGAGGTACTCACTTAGAAGCATTTTTATGGCCCTGGGCTGAGGTGGGCCAGAGAACTAATGTTCAGACATGGAGCATAATTGAGGATATCCTCTTAGCTTTCCAGATTTCCTTTGGAAGGGATCTGTTCCCCAGTCCTGGGGATGGAGAGGAGCTAAATAGCAGGGTATCTGAGAAATCTTGTTTGCCCAAGCTCTGATTCATCTCTCTTGTGTCATCCCAATCCCTTGAACCTTCTATATCCTTCCCTTCTCCAGACACGAAAGGCCTGTATTTCCAGGCATTTGGGGGCCGCCGCCGCTGTCTCAGCAAGAGTGTAGCTCCACTGCTAGCCCATGGCTACCGCCGCTTCTTGCCCACCAAGGACCACGTCTTCATTCTTGACTATTCAGGGACCCTCTTCTTCCTCAAAAATGCCCTGGTTTCCTCCACCCTTGGCCAGATCCAATGGAAGCGAGCCTGCCGCTATGTTGTGTTGTGTCGTGGAGCCAAAGATGTGAGTAGTAAAACCCTGACAGCTGAGAACCCACCCCACCTCCAGGGACCCAAGACCCATACCAGCCCTTAGGTTTCCACCTCAGGACAACTGTCTTCCCATCCCAGGCATAGGAAAAATAGTCCTCATTTCCCAGCCTTGTACCCAAGTATCTCATCTCCCACCCCAGCCTCATCCCACTCCAAGCCCTAGGTCCCAGATACTTTGGTCTTTTCCTACAGTTTGCTTCGGACCCAAGATGTGATACAGTTTACCGGAAATACCTCTACGTGTTGGCTACTCGGGAGCAGCTGGGAGTGGTAGGCACAACAAGCAGCCGGGCCTGCGACTGTGTCGAGGTCTACTTGCAGTCCAGTGGGCAGCGGGTCTTCAAGATGACCTTCCACCACTCCATGAGCTTCAAACAGATTGTGCTTGTTGGTCAGGAGACCCAGCGGGCTCTACTGCTCCTCACAGGTGTGGCTTCGAGCAGTGGTCTGCAAATTGTTTTCTGCAGATTCCTCAGGATCTGTTGCAGGGGATGGGGCAAGGAATCCTCTCACACAGGGTTCTGCATGCCACCTCATCTGGTCTTGAACCATATAGCTCTGCTTTTGTTTGTCTCTTAGTCTAGGATTCTGCATATTTCATTAGAGTAAAGGGCCCCACTTTAAATCCTAATCTCCCCAGCCTCCATGCCGAGCACCTCACTTTATACTCCAGACCGCCCCCCTACTTTCTCAGTATTTCCTATACTTGACCACACTCCCAAGCCTGAGAAGTAATTTTAGAATTAATTAATTAATTAATTCTTAATTCTAGGCAGGGCCCTGATCCCCAGACATCATTTCCAACATTCAGATTGGATACTGCCAAATCTAACTAGGTTTTCTCTCCACTCATCTAATATTGAAGGACTTTCCTGATTATTTTTGGTTATAAGTAACTGAAATCTGGGAAACTTGGGGTCACTCTTCCCTTATTTCATTTTACCCTTTTTCTTCCAACCCTACTCTAGGGCAGTAAACGTTTCATCTTGTATGGCTTAGGAGATCTTTTGGGAAGTTAATGTGGATGGCTATTGGAGGGTCCCCTTCCCCCACGTAATTGTCTGCCTCCCCACCCCCCAGAGGAAGGAAGGATCTACTCTTTGGTAGTGAATGAAACTCAGCTGGACCAACCACGCTCCTACACAGTTCAGCTGGCCCTGAGGAAGATGTCCCGTTGCCTGCCTCACCTGCGTGTGGCCTGCATGGCTTCCAACCAGAGCAGTACTCTCTACATCACGGGTAAGAACCACTTCCCTTCTCCAGACCCCAGCCTTGGACAGATCTTCCAGATATGGACACCACTCCACCCTGCCCCTCAGTTCTTATTCCAGCTCTGTGGTGGACCCCTAGGGCATCCTAGTAAAAGATGTTTAGATTCCCAGATATCATAGCTGGTGCATTTCCAGTGGGTGTGAGACTCCCTGGACCTTGTAGGTTCCATCCCAGGTGGGGCCTTATCCCTAGGAAATGGGTGCCCAAAGCTGCTGAGCTGAGGGCTCCTGACCCCCCAGACCAGGGGGGAGTGTATTTTGAGGTGCATACCCCAGGGGTGTATCGTGATCTCTTTGGGACCCTTCAAGCCTTTGACCCCCTGGACCAGCAGATGCCGCTTGCTCTCTCACTGCCTGCCAAGGTAGGATCCTGGAGGGATGGGGCAGATCAGAGGGGGAGGGGCTTTAGGGGTTGAAAGGTTCCGAAGGTTCTGAAATATGAGCCAGCACCAAATGATTGACAAGGGACCCAGAGAGAGGGGTGACATAGCCAAAAGAGATCAGCCGGGATAGCAGGTTAGCGGTTGGGAGGTTCTGGAGTTCAGAGTTCCTCTGGAGGGAACTGAATGCCCACCTCCCTTTTCTGTCTTATTCCGTAGATCCTATTCTGTGCTCTTGGTTACAATCATCTTGGCCTGGTGGATGAATTTGGCCGAATCTTTATGCAAGGAAATAATAGATATGGGCAGCTGGGGACAGGGGACAAAATGGACCGAGGGGAACCTACACAGGTGAGACTGTTTCCCAGCAACTCTCATCCTGACTCCCTTCTTCTAATTCCCTGACCCCTCGATCTCTCCACTTTTCCAATTTCCATAGAACCCACTTCCTACTCCCTAGGAGGTTAAGCCAACCAGTATGTAATACCTGTGATATTGTTGTGTGTCTTACCCAGGGTTGGCACTATGAGGTTCATTCTGTGCAGTGCATGCTGTAAGTGCAATGGGAATTTAGTGAAGTCGGGAGACCTGGGTGAGCTGGAGTAACTAGAAGAGGTGAGATGTGAGCAGGGCCTAGTAGCTTAGATAAGATTTGGGTGGAGATAGGGAAAGGTATCCTGTGTAATGGGGATGAGGACAAAGCTTGCACATACCTGGAGCAGTGAAAAGACTGGCCTGACTAAAAGAGAAGAGGGTGTTTTGTAAATAGGTAGATATGAAGTGGTATAGGTAGGTGTAAGCTTGGAGAGGTATAGATTTGGG